AGGAAGGAAGAAAGAGAGAGAAAGAAAGAAAGAAAGAAAGAAAGAAAGAAAGAAAGAAAGAAAGAAAGAAAGAAAGAAAGAAAGAAAGAAAGCCAGTGTCTAATATGCTGTTTCCTTTGATTAGAAACCAAGCCTTGGCTTCCTGCTAATCACNGAAAGAAAGAAAGAAAGAAAGAAAGAAAGGAAGGAAGGGAAAGGAAAGGAAAGAAAGAAAAGAAAGAAAAGAAAGAAAGAGCGAGCCAGTGTCTAACATGCTGTTTCCTTCTATTAGAAACCAAGCGTTGGCTTCCTGCTAATCGTGCATCGCTCTTCCCCTCGCGGCAGGTACGGGGCTGCTGCAGGCTGGGCCAGCGGGAACATCCATCCTAGGGGTTCGGCGCCACTTGACTCCATTCCTGCGAATTTTACCTCCTTTCCCAGGGCACCTGCGGGATGCTGGCTCTGGCCAGGGNCCTTTCCCAGGGCACCCGCGGGATGCTGGCTCTGGCCAGGGCTGTGCTGGGAATAGCTCCTGCCTCAGCACTGGTCTCCCCTGGAGGGAATTCCACGGGGGCCCCGGAGGCGGAGGCCAGGTGAGCAGGACAGAGCCAGGCTCATGACCCCTCCTCCGCCTCCTCCACCCTGCAGTGCAGGGATTTCAGGGAGGAAGGGCAGGCGACCAAGAGGAAGTCGTCAGCATGGGGAACAGTGAATCAGAGATATTTCCTTTGGACAAAACTGAACTATTTTATTTCAGCATTTTTAGTGTTGGCATGAGTTGATTCCATATTTCATTTCATTTATGGAAGACTGATAATTTAGAGGGAGAAGGTATCTGCGTTTATGAGTAGCTGAAATGTGTCACCAATATTTTTGGCTTAAAAAAGCACTTTGATAAAGCACAATTCATTGTTATAAAACTAGAAGCCTGGCCATTTCTCCATGGATCAAACCAGTATTAATCGTTAAAACTTTCTAGAAAAGTAACAGAACTGTTACGCCAAATACGGTTCTATTTAATAACCACCAGGACTTCTTTTTCGCTACAAGCTTTTCACAAGATGGTCTATTATTATTATTGTCTCTAAAAAGAAAGGCTGCAACCTGCGTGTAAGTGTAGCTAGTATGACCACGCTGCTAGGCCCTCAGGACTCACGCACGCCCTCCTGGGGGAGTAACGGGGGACTGCAGATATGTGCCCGGGCCCTGGGTCAGACTGCCTGTGTCTGAATGCTGGCTCTGCTACTTATTAGCACCATGACTCTGAGCAAGTTATTTATCATTTCTGTGCCTCAGGTTTGTCATCTGTAAAATGGAGCTGGAGATGGCATCTACTCATAAGGTGGTTGTCAGTATGTTCCCAGGACTCAGAACATCGTCTGCTTCAGGGGGTAAGTGCCCCCAGAGTTCAGCTAATCTTTGATATAGCACTTTCATTTTTCTTAACACAGTCAGTTAAAAGTTGCTTACCAATCTGGGGTCAATTTCTTCATTAAGAACAGCTTCATTCTTTATGAGCGCCACCCGCTGTGCAAATCTGCAGGTGGATATGGACTCCTAAGAAAGCAAAACAATGCCTTAAAGTGGGACAGCTCAGAGAGACAAAGGAGCAAGATGCATCTAAAGGGTGACGCCTACGGAACACGATGAGGAAACATGCCTCCAGATTAGGGGGTTTTGCTCTTGAACATTATATTTTATTAAAGTGTTGTCTGGGCTTAATGAAATGATCAGTGCCAAAGGTGTGGGAGGTCCTGAGGTCCTAGGTGCCAACTGCTATGTGTTTCTCAACTACTGACTGTTACAGCAGAACCACATATGCAAATCATAATCTGAGCAGGTACCGTGATCCATGAGCATGAAAGGCTACAAAGGAAATATTTGTACAGACGAACAAGAGAGGCATCGAGGTCTGTTACAGTGCACATGGGTCTCGGCCTTGTCTTGCCACTTCCTTTCAGAAAGTCTGGATCCCAGGCATTAAACTGAAATGCATGAGATGTCCGCTATCTCTAAAGCAACCCAGGAAAACCATTCAGTAGCCAGCTCTGCCAAAGCATCCTGGGTACTGTGCCCAGCGACATGCTGAGGGACACATCTCGGAGATGACTTCAAGGTATCTTAGTAGCCAGGAAAAATGGAGCAGGAGAAGCTGATGGGTCTCCTCTGGCATGTCTTTGGTTAAGGTAACTAACCAACCCATCAGCAGGGCTTCCAAAATTTGTGTATGAGGCTTCTTCAGACCATCCTGTGCCATGTGAAGTCAATTCTCAAATGGGGTAATTATAACGCCGGCCAGTACCCCAAAACTGTGAATCTGTAGGGTGGTCCTCTAACCTGAAGGCAGACCCTATTCCGGCTGAAAAGACGGAAACCCACCCGGGACCCGCAACTCCAGCACACAGACTAACAATAAACACTCAGACTGAGAGCTCCAGAAAGAAGACAACATACGTCGATGTTCCTCTTCTCCAGAGAGAGCGTCGCGATCATGGTGGTCATGCAGTTCCCGCCCAGGCTGTCCCTCAGGACGCTGGTCATCATGGAGTTCCGGTAGGGGATGTGCGAGCGGTGCTTTTCCGAAAGGGCGATGATGACCTGGCGAGGCAGAGAGACGCCAGAAGCTCAGCAGAAACGCACGTCCGACAGCTGAGCCGCAGCTGCAGTGGAAACGCAGAGGGAAAGAACCCGGGCAGGGCGACGCCCAGCGCTCGGGCTCAGGGGAAACGTCACAGCATTCGGGGCAGGGACGGCCGGGGTGGGACAAAGCAACTGCAGTGAAAATGCACCGCGAGGGCCTGCGACTCCGGACACGCAATCTGGCCTGCGCAGAACCGGACACGCCGGTGCTGTTTCAGCCACGGGGAGATTCATGTAAAAACTCCAGAGGAAATCACGCCCGACTTGAGAAGTCCTAGCAGACGCGGTCTGTCTGCTCATCTTCAAGGTTAAAGAGGCGGATCAGTATCATTTTGACACCTTTTATGCCTGAAGTAGCCTTAACCAGAAAAGTAAAAATTTAAAATGGACTAAATGATATTTTTTAAGACTTTGAAATAAGAAATAATTTTTAACTAATATAACGGGCCTCAAAATAATAAACTCAAATCTGTCAGCAAATCAAAATTAAATGTTAGTTTGACAACAAAAATTACACATTGATTTATTAGAAGTTGCCTCTCTTCACTGGTGGTTTATTTTTTAATCCTAACCTGAGGGCATGCTTGGGGAGAGAGAGAGAGAAGCATTGATGTGAGAGATCGAACCCACAACCTGGGCATGTGCCATGACCAGAATCACACTGGTAACCTTTCTGTGCATGGGGCGATGCTCAACCAACTGAACCACTCTGGCCGGGCTGGTGATTTGATTTTAATTATAAAATTTCCAGCAGATCTGTGCTTAAAGCCCTTGATATTTGAAATAGTTGGACACCTGATGAGAAAATTACACTTTATTTGCCTCTAGAATGATAAAAATCTCAGCTTTATAAAATGCATCTATTCATGAAGGTGAATCTCTAATTGGTGATTGAAATGTAAAATTTAATTTGGTGCTAATATCTCACTGGAGTGTATACATGTTTCTGAGTAATTTTTAAAAAATGAAACTTACAGATTCATAAGCAAACAAACAAAACGCGCACACCATGCAGTAAGGGGTAGTGGTGGAGACCCCAGATTCTGGTGCCAGGCTGTCCAGGTCTCAATTCTAGCCTTACCAGGGTCATGTCACTCAACATCTCTGCCTTGGTCTCCTCATCTGTAGTATAGGCGGGAAAACAGAACCTACCTCATAGGTAGCTGGGAAGATTAAAAGTTAAATGTACAAATTCCTTTGAGCAGTACCCAGCCCATAATAAGTGCATCATAAGTGATAGGGGCCATTTATGCTGGTTCAACCAAGGCTTGCTCATCTCACTCCTGTGTCCTAGGTACTTAACAGGAAGGAACTACATGGGTGGATGGGAGATGAATGAAAGGCTGCTGTGGGTTGTCCCCAAAAGGAGCCACTAGGGGTTCAGGGTTTTCCTGGGAAGATGAATCCAGTGCTAGGATGCCCATCCCAAAGCACCAGCAATAAGTCACCCACGGATGTGACTTCAGGGGCACCAGCACCTGCCCTTGTTCTAGTGTTCCTTCCTCCCAGGTGTGCAACCCCTATCATCAGAACTTCTTCTGCTCCTTTAGTTTACAAACCAAGATGGGAGCCTTCCTTTTGAAGGCTGTTTTGAGCAAAAACATACAACTTATACCACTGGTCTTGCTTTATATCCATGACCACGTATTTCACTACAAACCAGAAATCCTGTGGCATTTCTCTCAAGAAATCACTTTTCCACTCTCAGAAATGAGGCTGTCACACCTGATCCTTCTGTTTCGAACCTCTATCCAGAGTCCTCTCCCCACCTCCCCCACCTTCAGCCTGGGCTGATGGCCACACGCCCTTCTAACCAGCTGTAAGCAGCCTGACCAGAACCACCTCATGCCCGGCGCCAAATCCGCATCCTACGCTTCCTCCAGTTCCGGTCCTGCTCCTGCCCACGGCCAGCCCTCCACCCTCTCCTTCCTCTCTTCTTACCCATTTTGCTCCTACGATTAATCCCTCTCTCCTCTAATCAGTTTCTCCCCCTCGCCTGGATCAATCCCGTCCTGCATGCCCACTACAGTATTAAACTAAGGCGGCTCTTTGCAAGGTCATCAGTAGCCCCCATTGAACCAACAGCATTGATTGCCGTACTGCTAGACTTCTGGGTCACTGCCTGCTTTAGGAAACACTATTCACTTGGGAGTCAGGATGCCGCACTTTCCTGGTTTCCATCTCTCTTCAGACTCTGGTTAATGAACGTTTCCTTCTCTTCTTCCCAAGTGATAAACACTGGAGTGTTCCAGGGCTCCGTCCTCGCGCCTGTCCTTCCCACCTGCACTCTCTCCTCTGTGCGTGCATCCAATCCGCTGGCTCTAAACACGTCTGTATCCTGATGTCTCCCCCGTTCACATCATCAGCGTCGCCTCTTCCCTGAGCTTATCCCCGTGGCAACTCTGCATCCGGGGATGTCTGCTCTTGGCTTTCTCTCTCCTCTACCCCTACACCTGACACTTTTCCGGACTTGACCCATTATTATTAGTAGCACCACCATCCACCTACCGATTCAGTCCAAACTCTTTGGCACCGTTCCTCATTTCCCCTCACCTCCAACATCCGATCCAGAGCACTTTTCTATTAGGTTTAACTACAAAGCATGCCCAGAACTGGACCACTTTTCCCACCTGTCTGCCACCACTCCAGACCAATCCTCCGTCATCCCTGCCTTGGACAACTGCACATGTCCTTGAACCAGTCCCTTGGCGTCTCCTCCTGTCCTCGCAGGGTCTCCTCTCCACATGGCAGCCAGAGGGATCCTTAGGAAATGTAAGTTACACCGAGTCACTGCCGTGCTTACAGCCTTTGCGATACACTCAGTATCGTGACCCAGCTCCTGTGCGGCCTGGCTGCTGTCTACCTATCCGACCTCGCCTTCTGTCGTACTTTCACTGCTCCCACTGCCCTTGCCATGCCAAGCTGACGCCCACTTCCCAGCCTTTGAACTCACTGTTTCTTTCACCTGGGACGTTCTTGCCCCAGATTTTCATACAGCCTCCCGCCTCTCATCTTTCACGTCTTTGCTAAAATTTCATTTCTTCGCAGGGCTTCCCCTGAATCCCTATAAAAAGCAACAGCCCTGTCTCCAAGCTGTTATACCATTTTATTTTTCTTCTGACACTTGGCACTATCTGGAGTTTTATTTGTCAACTTGTTAGTCATCTGCTCTCTGCGAGACTTTCTCTCCAGAAGCCCAGGGACTTTGTTTCTCGTGCTCCTTGCTCCACCACCACTGCCTGGAACAGTGCCCAGCGCCCAGTACATGTGGCAGAAACCAAATTGTCTCACTCTGCTCTCATGACAACCCCCGTTCTAGTTTTACTTCCTATACAATTACATTTCCTACTCTCTCTTGCAGCTCATATTTTGCCTGACACATAGCCCCATGTAGCAGACACCCCTGTGTGGGCTCTGGAGGGGAGCAAGGAGGGTGATGGCCATGAGGAAGACCAGATTTACAGGACGGTGTGGCAACAAAGGCATCTGGCTTTTCTGCAGCAGCTTCAGGGAAGCTTCTGGAATCCAGGACTCAATGTCTAAGTGCCAAGCACAGGTGATAGTAGCGTTTGCCGAGAAGCTCAGTGGTGTGGTCAGATGTGCCTCCTGGTTGCTCTGCTCCCAGCTGGGTAGCATCCAAGCCCAGTTTCCTAATTTTTCTTCAGATACCTTTTTTAAAAAAATTTATCTTTATTGCTGAAAGTATTCCTTTTCCCCCCCCATTGATCCCCTCCACCCTGCATCCACACCACCCCCAGGCCTTCCCCATACCAACGTCTGTATCCATAGGTTATGCTTGTAAGCACGTAAGTTCTTTGATTAATCTCTTGCCAACACTCCCCCACCCCCATCTTCCCTCTGAGACCTTCAGTCTGTTCCATGCTTCTATGCCTCTGGATCGATTTTGTTCATCAGTTTATTTTGTTCTTTAGATTCCACATATGACTGAGGTCATATGACACTTGTCTTTCTCTGGCTAGTTTATTTCACTTAGCATAGTACTCTCCGGTTCCATCCATGCTGTCCCAAAGAGTAAGAGGTCCTTCTTTTTCACAGCTCCATAGTATTCCATGATGTAAATGTCTCAGAGCTTTTTTATCCACTCATCTCCTGATGGGCACCTGGGCTGTTTCCAGATCTTAGCTATTGTAAATTGTGCTGCTATGAACATAGGGGTACGTATATTCTTTCTGATTAGTGTTTCAAGATTCTTAGGATGTATTCCTAGATGTGGGATCAGTGGGTCATAAGGCAGTTCCATTTTTAATTTTTTGAGGACCCACCATACTGTTTTCCATAGTGGTTGCACCAGTCTGCATTCCCACCAGCAGTGTACTAGGGTTCCCCTTTCTCCACACCCTCGCCAGCACTTGTACATTGATTTGTTGATGGAGCCATTCTTACTGGTGTGAAGTGATACCTCATTGTGGTTTTAATTTGCATCTCTCTGATGATTAGTGACTTTGAGCATTTTTCATGTCTCTTGGCCATCTGTATGTCCTCTTTGGAGAAGTGTCTATTTAGGTCCTTTGACCATTTCTTAATTGGATTGTTTGTCTTCCATTTGTTAAGTTGTATGAGTTCCTCATATATTTTAGGTATTAACCCTTTATCAGATGTGTCATTGGCAAATATGTTTTCCCATACAGTGGGCTCCCTTTTGGTTTTGTTGATGGGGTTTTTTTTTGCTGGGCAGAAGCTTTTTATTTTGATGCAGTCCCATTTGTTTATTTCCTCCTTTGTTTCTCTTGCCTTAGGAGATGTATCAGCAAACATATTGCTACGAGAGATGTCTGAGATTTTGCTGCCTACGTCTTCTTCTAGGATTTTTATGGTTTCATGTCTTACATTTAATTTTTTTATCCATTTTGAGTTTATTTTTGTGTATGGTGTAAGTTGGTGGTCTAGTTTTATTTTTTTGCATGTACCTGTCCAAATTTCCCAACACCATTTATTTA